TAATATAATATAACTAGTTACTATGTACGTGTGTTACACGTAATTATTTAGTCAGAACTCTTATGTGAAAGAACAACTAACTAAATTTAGTAACAAATTGTTTACAAGCTGATATGGTCATTTTAAAGTAATTAACGTGATAAAAATACAGCAATCATTTAAATTCTAAAAATTAATGTTATTATATTAGTAGAATACTTGAATTCAAAATGATATCGTCTTAACCCACAAAGATGATCAATTTAGTTAAGTTAACTGATATTCTGTTTACAGTGTATAAAAAATTCAGTGTGGTTATCATATCTTATACTTCTTTATAGAGGACGTTTTTGGTGAATGTTTCCTTCTACAACTTTGGTTACTCCATCTCAAAAGTAAAACATATAGTTATCCATCTTTGAATCACCTCCAAGAAGTATTACTTTTTTACTGTTGTACTTTGACATATTTGTGAGGGTTGTCTCNATTCACTCTTTTGTTTGTTGGTAAGAGCACATGATCTCATGAATGATTGGTGATGTTGTAAACTTTCTTGTTGGGTAAGTGCATGAGTTGAGGGTGCTTAGTGGTTGCAAGTCGGCTCTTGAGGTTGGGTGGTGACAAATAGGTTGTCGGAATTGATTGAATTGAAGGGTTATACTTGGGCTTGCTTAAACGGGAAGAATGTGAATTTTTGTGTGTTCATGCTTGTGTGCCGGTATTGATCATAGTCAAGGGTATAGTGTGTGGTTAAAATTTAAGGTGCTCCTCTATGATTGAACCTTGTACGTAGTTGGGGGTCTATTAGATAGTCCCATTGCTCGAGGACGAGCAAGAGTCTAAGTGTGGGGTGTTGATGTTTAGCTTAAAGTATATATATATTTCTATGTATATCGCCTCATATTTTACTTTTGTTTTGTGAATTTGGGATGTTAAATGTGTTGATTTATGTTAATTTGATGTGTTTTTATGTGTAGGAATGATTCGGGAGCAATTGGGGGCGAAACACGCGAGATTTGAGCCAAAACGAACGAAACCGGGCAATGTGCGAATTTGGGTGCCACAGGTGGCGCCCGGCCCTACCTGTGGCGCCAAAAATAGTAGCTCAAAATTGTGGGGCGCCGTGGAGGGCGCCTGGCGCCGGGCTGGGCGCCGGTTATGCGGATTTTGTCCTATTTTGCCCGGGACACAATTTATTCGGCCCTAGACCTATCCAACACGTATAAAAGCAAGACTAAACATATTTTTTGGGGGGAGGACGCCACTTTTGAGGATATCTAACACACTTTGAAGGAGAATTCACGTGGGGCAACACACATCACACTTGGAGGAGGCTTCGAACTAGTTTTTCTTCTCTTCTCTTCCTTTAATTTCATAGTTTATTAGTTCTAGAGTTTTTGGTGCTACATGAACGTTGTAGTTTAAAGCTTGAATTGTTCTTATTATTTTATTATATTGGTTTATTTATTCAATCTTGCGCTTAATTATTTGATTGCTTGATCACCAATTGAATACTATCTACGAATCTAGGATTGAACTCGGGAGAGGGAATTCTAGATTGCATATAAGATTGAGTAGAGCAAGATCTTAACTCTTAGGGGGAGCGGATTTGCGGTTAGGATAGGAATATACCTAATCGCCTTGCTTGGTTATTATACGGGAATTATAAATGCGTTCTTGTTAATCCTAATTCCATAGGAATATAGGCGTTAGGTTAGCTTGAATAGGCGAGTTGTACTTCGGGAGAAGGCTACGAGCAATATTAACCCCGTCAACCAATAAACTAGATAAATTAATTAGACAATTTAGGTAGAAAACTCAACGGGATTGTTAGCTAACCCATAGCTCTAGAATATTCACTCATATTGAATTCGTTTCTATAATTCACCGACTTGTTTTCTTTAATCTCTTAGTTTACTACTCTAGATTATCTTTAGTTAAATATTCATATTAGGATTCGCTTGAATACATTAATTGTTTGGTTTAATTTAGCTGATAGTTAATCACAAGTCCCTGTGGGTACGGTATCTGGACTTACAATCCTATATTACTTGTCGACCACGTATATTTGCGTGTGCGTTTGGGAGCAACATATATTAATGAGAATTAATTTTAAAATTCTAAATGATAGGAAAGTAACTTAAGTTACAATTTTGTCCAATATAAACTCTATTTTTAAAGGGTAAAAAAGGCAAACGATATTTCGCTAAGGGCATTCGTGCTTTTAATATAGTACTAGTTACTATTTACGTGCGTTGCACGTAATTATTTAGTCAGAACTCTTATGTGAAAGAACAACAAACTAAATTTAGTAACAAATTATTTACAAGCTGATATGATCATTTTAAAGTAATTAACGTGATAAAAATATAATAATCATTTAAATTCTAAAAATTAATGTTATTATATTAGTAGAATACGTGAATTCAAAATGATATCGTCTTAACCCACAAAGATGATCAATTTAGTTAAGTTAACTGATATTCTGTTTACAGTGTATAAAAAATTCAGTGTGGTTATCATATCTTATACTTCTTTGTAGAGGACGTTTTTGGTGTATGTTTCCTTCACAACTTTGGTTTCTCCATTTCAAAAGTAAAACATATAGTTGTCCATCTTTGAATCACCTCCAAAAAGTATTACTTTTTTACTATTGTACTTTGACATATTTGTGAGGGTTGTCTCAATTATTTATAAAGTTATGTGAAATTTAAATTATTTTGGATATAACTCGAATAAAATTATTACTGTCACACCTCCTTTTTCCTACACCTGTGAGGGCGTAAAGGAGTTTTTTCAATTAAAGGACAATCGGAACGGAATTTATTATTAATATTCAGAGTCGCCACTTGGGAGATCAATGGTGTCCCAAGTCACCGGTTGAATCCCGATCCGAGGAAATTATGAGTCTATTAACAGTCCGCGAACCAGAAATGCGAGTAAGGAATTCTGTTAACCCGGGAGAAGGTGTTAGGCATTCCCGGGTTCCGTGGTTCTAGCACGGTCGCTCAACTGTTGTATTTGATTTTATCTGATTTCAAAACATGTTCTAACCTATGTGCCTTTTATTAATAAACCGCTCTTATTTTTATTTTTAATAAGAATTGCAACATCGTGAAAATGCGTCTCGAACTACGTCGCACCAGTGCACCCGTGGTTGTCAACACATTTCGACTCCGTTGAGATTTGGATTTGGGTCACATCAATGTGCACCCGTATTTAAGAAGGTAATTTTATTAAAATACGCGCCTAAAACAACCACGTGTTTATTATCTTTGGGGAAGACCGTGAAATTCGCTAAACGGCCCGTCCCGAAGTCCGAGTATTTTATATAGCATTTATTGAGGGCCCCGCAATTTTGCACTTTTATTTGGCGAGGCTCTTCTCATTTTATTTTTAAAAGGCAATCCTAATGTAATCTATAGTTTTCTCCTCACTGTGTCTTTAAAATAAAGAAAACCCCCTAATTAATTATTGTTGAGCTATTATACTTTCAGAGAAAAAAAACGGGCCTTGTAATCAGCCCAATAAGGAAACATTGCCAATCTCAAAATCAGCCTAGCCTGAAAGCAGGCCCGACCTCGTATTATTGTCTCAATTGGACTGCTTGCTTGGCCCAGACTTGGACACAAAGGGCATTACCTTTGAATCTGGGCCTGTGTCAAATGAGCTGAAGCTCAAACTGTGGAGATCAGGCCACTGGCCTTATATCAAACAAAACTAAATTCAATTAGAAGTGAGACACGCTGAATTTATTTCAAGCTACACTAAATGCCTTCAATAACTTGTAACTAATCAGTAGAACCCTGTTTTAATTATAGTTTATACCCAGGCTTGTAGATAATCACAGGTCTTTGTTATTCTAAAGTATTGATCCTATTAAGGTATTTACTGAAATGAACTACCAGATTCAAGGAACTAATTTGACACTTATCCTTTGCTAATTCTAAAATACTATTTCGAATACTGTTAAACTATGATTTAACATGAACAATCACAAAAGGCTACAACTAACTAATATGAACAATCACAGTCCAACAGTTCGTACAGTTTTCAATTCAAATTAAACAGTCCAAATAATTGTTCCAGTTATACTTGAGCATGAATAGCTAAGCTAAATTTAAAGGCTAATCAATGATTCTAAAAAAATCTCAAGTGACCAATAACAATTCTTCTTCATTGATTTCTCCAAATTGTTCATACACAGGAATCAAGCTTCCAGCTCATAGTGAATGTGTACCTGGAATCTGGAATCTGGAAATGAGAAGAAGAAGAGCAAGTCACCAACAACAGCTACGCGCAGAAATCAACCAGCCAGGAACCAATTCAATGACCAAGGAAAAGTTCGAAACCAAGCAAAACCCAAACGATTGACCACAAAATTACTTGAACACACTCAAATGCAATCAAAATTTGATCCAGGACCTACAGAACTTCTTCAGCAATCGAAACGACTAAAACTCACTCCAAATGAACCCTAACACCTTCAGATGCTCTGAACAACTAAGTATAGAACAGAACTAGAGAGATTTGACTTATTTTTGATCTTAAAATCAATGTAANTTGTTTAAAAGGTTACGGATGTTTTTAGAACGTAGTCTTTTAATACGTGCCTTTCTTTTAGTACGTACCTTGTTATAAGACGAATTGTAATTAGGAATAAGAAAATTATGTACGTACTTTTCTAATTCAAGTAGGATCAAAGTTGTAGGGTCGGGCATATATATGAATATTTTAAATCGAAAAATAATTTTATCATTAGGTAATTTATAATTAGATCCTTAAATTATATAAATAATTGAGGGCATAAAAGTCGGTCAATGTTTCAGGGATATTTTAGTCGCTCAACATTTAGCATAAATTATTTGTGCTTTTATAATAATATATATATATATATAGATAGAATAGATGATTACCAATACTAACTCCACAGTGGAGTCGGTTTATTTAGCCTGTTAGGGCGTAATTTGATTCTTAAATGCCACATGTCCAGAAATTAAGCAAAACAATTTGGCAGAAAGTAGAGTTTATTTATATTCCGGAGAAAAGAAAGTCCCCAGTTTACACGCAATTAAAATCCAAATCCCATAGATAGTTCCAGTTTGAAAGAGATATATAGTCCACTACCCATTTAAGCATTGAAAATTCTTTTCTTAAAATTCAAATACTTTACTTTTTCAACTCCAAGTTTTTGCCTTCCTTAGAAATTAAGTAATCATCCAAGATTCAATTTTTCTGCTACAATCGATCTCCCCAGGTTCGTTAATCATATTTCACGTCGTCTTTTCCTGCTTCTGAATCGATTTTTAAATTACTGTAATTGATTTATTGTCTCTTCATATGTTTGGATTCTAGTTGTTTTTTTCTTCTCTCTTCTAGATGCTGATTATGTTCAGGTTATTTTCCATTACTTATTTGCTTTTGAAGATGGTTAGGGTTTAGGATAGGAAAAATGAAGTTTTTATTGGTAGAAAATGTTTACCTTGCTGATGACAGCAAAATAATTGTTTTGCTTGTTTCTTAATATCTAGGGTTCTACGTCTGCCCACCAATGGGTTTTGCTTAAGGAATGTTCCCTTAATTCTCTTATTTACTGAATAAACACGTAATTTAAGACTTGCATTCTGGTAAATATGAAGTATTACTGCATTGCCGTTCTGTTATTCGGATAAGATGGGTTTTTAAAAAAAATAGAATTGTGGAGAGATTGTTTTGAATTCTGATGAATTTTTATCTCTATTTGCTACTGAAAATAGGGTTAAGAAACTGATGGCAACGGCGACTATCGCCACTGCAGCAGGTGCTGCTGCTCTATTATATTATACGTTAAATAAGAAGTTGCAATCTGCTCCAACAACGGATGATGACGAGGAGGAATGTGGCAGCAGTAGCCAAGATCATGCTCAACTAGGAATTAATAGGGTTTCCAATAGACTTATACAGGCCCCTGCTACGTGGTTAGAGACAATCGCGACATTATCTGAGACTCTTAGGTTTACTTACTCGGAGACCCTGGGCAAGTGGCCTATTGGTGACTTGGCTTTTGGCATCAGTTTTCTTTTGAAGCAGCAGGTAATCATGAATCGATTGTTTACTTTTTTCCTAGTAAAGGTATTTGGTTGATGTGGAATGTTATGCAGTGTACTGTCATATGTTTAAGATCTGTTGTCTTCATGTTAGAAAAGGGAGCATATAATATGTATGCAAATAATTGCACCATGAAATGGAGTAGAGGGAAGAAGATGTTAGATCAGAATGCAGTTGGTCAACTTGTCCAGTATAGAGCAATTCTTTAAAAAAAATTCTTCCTGTTTTTGGATTATGTGATGTGAGGAGTTTTATATTCATATTCCTTTCTTTCTACACAGACATGCATTTATCAAAAATGTCTAGCCAGGTGATTTTGGATTATTTTTGTTGCTTTTCTGAGACTGAACTCAGTGCTCTGTCCTGTTTTATCATTTCATTTTTCTTTTCATTATGTAATTAATGTTAAAGTTATTCTTTATTTATCTATTGCTTTTATTCAAAAATGACTAGTTCCAGGTCCTTCCAACACACTTTCTCTTTAAAAAACAGTTATGGAAGTTTGGTGGACTGTGTCCATCGCATAACTAAATACTATAGGTTCCCAAAGGAAAAAATGCTTCGGGAAAGCTCCTTCCTATGACTGTTACTGAAGCATGATACTTCTATGATTTTTCCATCGATTTATGTACCAAAGCAATTAAGGAAGGTGTCGTTCATTTATGCCATGTTAGTAATCACCTTGAGTTTGACTTAGCACTATCTTACCGAGCTTGTTCGCTAAGTAGGTTTATAATGTTTGCAGGGGAACATACATATTAGTAGCATATTCTGTGGCGAAGACAGTACCCAGTTACAAGGTTCTGATATTGTTGCAGAGCTTAAATTCCTCTTACACTTGTTGACAGTTTGTTGGCATTTCTCCAAAAAGCCTTTCCCATTATTCTTGGAGGAGACAGGCTATTCTCAAGAAAGTGTACTACTTCAAGAACCCAAAGCTGGAGTAAGTCACTAAGTCTCCTCCGTAATTCTCTCTGACTTAAAATATTTATGTCCTTTCTTCTGAATGACAAATTCTATTGTGCAGATTCTGAAGCCAGCTTTTACAATACTCGCGGACCACCGATCAAAATCTTTCTTCCTTGTAATCCGTGGAACTCATAGTATTAAAGATACTTTGACAGCTGCTACCGGTGCAGTTGTGCCTTTCCATCACACTATGGTACACGAGGGAGGAGTTAGCAATTTGGTGTTAGGCTATGCGCATTGTGGAATGGTTGCAGCTGCTCGATGGATTGCAAAACTTGCAACGCCTTGTCTTCTTAAAGCACTTAGTATTTATCCCGAATACAAACTTAAGGTCCTTGATATTGAGTCTGATCTTTCCTCAGTTTTAGAACCTTTACTCCCCTTCTCTCTTTTTTATTTTGGGGTTAGAGGTGTCTCTCATTTTTGTATTGAAAATATTGATCATATAGGTTGGATCTGTTCCATCGCGACTGTTTTATATTTACCAATACTAGTTCTTTATTTTCTTGATTCCCCAGTAGTTTGTTTTTATCTGCTTAGCATTGTTTTTTTTATCCTTCTCTTTCTCTTGGTATGAATCTGCCTCTCTGTTGATTTTATTTGGGTTGAGTTACATGGAGGGTATGTCTGCTATTCCTTTCTAATTAGTGTGTGTGCGTACTGTTGTATTAGGAGTTTTCTGGCAAATGCCTTATGGTGTCTTTTGGCTAATTCCCTTATAAAATTTATCTTCTTTTGGCGCACAGATTGTGGGACATTCTTTGGGTGGAGGAACTGCAGCTCTTTTAACTTATATACTTCGTGAGCAGAAGGAACTGTCGGCAGCTACCTGTGTAGCATTTGCACCAGGTTTCATATATAACTTTGTTTATGTTATTTGTCATTTGACATCTTTTGTGCTGAGATGTTTCTTTTTGGAACTGATTCGAAAAGGGTGTCTACTCTATGCATTTCTATTATTGGAATGTTCTAATTTGACCCTGTCATCTGTCTACTAGTGTATGCATGTACTTTTATATATATATATATATATATATATATATATATATATATATATATATATATANACATATACCTCAAACAAGCTACTGCTCTCCATACGAGAGGACCAACTTGAGCCAGACAAATTTTGAAAAAACGACAGAAGTCAAGAATGACAGGGTCAATAGCAGGAATAAATCCCAAAGTAAAGGGATAAGTGTAAACGAAAGAAAAACCAACCCTATAAGAAGATATTCTTTGGTGTGGAGTAGGAATAACTATTTGGGTGTCACCTCTCCAACGGCAATCTCTTCGAACAATCTGAATTAAAGGTTCAGTAATTAAAGAGGGATATTTATCAGCTCTTTCTAATTTAATCACTTGGTCACGAAGGGATTCTTTGTCATGTTCGAAGGATAAATCCGTTGGCACAATTTCTTCAACCAGAGGCTCTTGGTTAGACTCAGAAGTTTCTTTGCCTTTAGAAGAAGACTTGTTAGAAAGAGAGCCTCTAGAGATATTGCCGGAACTAGAAGAAGGAATGATGGAACCAGAGATACCACCACGAACCGACCCTGTACCACGAAGCACACCTCCTCTACCTCTTCTATATCTAGCAGGAGCATTGGGAAAACTATCAAGAATTGGGACTCTTTTAGGGTTAGGATTCGAAGACGACATAGTGAGAAGGTATGAATTGAAGAAGAAGTGAACAAGAGTTAATAGCAAGAAATTTGGTAAAAAGCTTGTGAGGAAGAAGACAAAGGAAAAAGGGGGCAAGTTTATATATAAACTCAACCGTCGGTAATTAAAAAGTGCAGTGATGGAAAGCCTATAATAAAGGCAACTATCACTTCGTGAATAGTGGAGTTAAAAAGCCTTAGAAAAAGGCTACAAAATCGCAGAACTAATGAGAAGACAACACGTATATGGTGCATTAAATAGAAGAGACAACTGAAACGTTAGTACTGTCATAGCATTGATTATGGCAAAAATTCCCTTTTTAATGAAGATCCACTTCCCAAATAATTAATTGATAAATAAATGGAAAGTGGGGGGACTATCTGTATTGGGAAAAAACTGAATTTAAATATTGAAGATGACGTATCATGACACGTGGACCGGTCAAATAGTCAAAGCATGGTAATCAGTTAGAAGGCACGAGCAACAACAGATGCGGGAGAGAAGATACTTAAAGGCACGAGCTATTATTCAGATGAAACGAGACTCGTACCTGTTCGAGTCATTTAAAGCTCGAAGATCAGAAGGAATTGAAGACATGAATCTGATAGCGTAAAAGAGTCCAAATTCAAAATTAAATGCCAAATACGTTAGAGAATTTGTATTTAACAAGAATGATTGAGTAACGTTTCTTTTAATGTCATTTATTGCTCATAATTGCCTCATTAAGACAAAGGCATTACACTTTCTCTTAGAATTAACTATAAAAGGAGAAAGTCACAACAACTGTAGGACACAAAATATCATTGAGATTACATTGAAATACAAACTTATTTACTGCTTTATTATTATCCTAAATTCTTTATTTTTTTCGTCTCCTGATTATCAGTAACTCGATTTTTTCTCTTAATTTCTAGTTTTAACTGAAATTCTATTTTTTGGTTAAACACGCTCCACATCTGGAAGATCCGCAAATCCCTCCTGCTTATGTTAAAACTTATGGATTTACATGTTTGTACAAAAATGTTTCTAAAGTAATATTTAGTTGAAGGATAAAATGGTCATTTAACTTTATATGACCATTTTAGTCTTTTAACTTTGACATAGGGTATTCACACTTATAATACTAGTTACTATGTACGTGCGTTGCACGTAATTATTTAGTCAGAACTCTTATGTGAAAGAACAACTAACTAAATTTAGTAAAAAATTATTTACAAGCTGATATGATCATTTTAAAGTAATTAACGTGATAAAAATACAACAATCATTTAAATTCTAAAAATTAATGTTATTATATTAGTAGAATGCTTGAATTCAAAATGATATCGTCTTAACCCACAAAGATAATCAATTTAGTTAAGAGATCGGAAGNGCTAATATCCCCTTGATACTACTTCCTCAAGCCAAATGATGTTGGTCGTATGTGCTAATCCTCTTATTCTTGCTAGCCGACCTCAACTAGTTTTTGGTTGATGCATTGTTAATCAATTGATTGATTTGACATCTTATTTTTACTTTTAGGTGCAAGACCATTTAGATTACTGTCTGCTGTTGCCTTCTAACTTTTCCAGGATTCAGTTTTTGGCCAAAAAACAGTCTATTTCAATTTTCACCTTAGGAGTAAATTGAGTTCATTAAGCTTTGGTATCTATTGTTCTAGTTTGGCATGGTGATCTTCATTGTCGAGTTTACAGATCCACCTGATGGTTTGGAGAAAAGGGTTCTGTTTATGGTACATCGTGTTGCTACTATATTCATAGTTTTGTTAATAGCTTCTGGAAGCTTGTTCTTTGTACCAACATTTCACCTCTGCTTCTAATACCTCTTTAGTTGTGAAGTATGGTCTCTCAAGAGGGGGGTGTTTTTCTTCTTGTTGCAGGTGACAGCATCTGCTTGGTTGAACGATCTAAGAAATCAGATTGAGCACACTAGGATTCTTAGTACTGTTTATCGTTCTGCATCAGCCCTGGGATCTCGTCTTCCATCAATTGCTACCGCTAGAGCTAAGGTTGCTGGTGCTGGTGCAATACTACGGCCTGTTTCCAGTGGAACACAGGTAGAATCATAGTTTACTCTGTTATTTCAGTTCTCCCTTACCCTGTGGTAGTAACAAAGCTGTAATACAGTTTGCTTATGTGTGAACTTGTTTGACCATTTCGTTGACCAGCGTGTCGCCTTTGGTGCATATGAACTTGTTATATGCACACCGAAGACATGACATATAACTTGACTGCGCAGTTGTCTTTAGCATTCTGTTTTATACGTTATTTGTGAAAAATGTTTATGGTTTTGGCATTCTAGAGAACATTTCTTTTGAGTTGGAAAATAATCAAGAGAATCTGTTTAATACTTTAATTCACTTCAGGAGATGGCTGTTATATGTGGGATAGGACAATTGGATGGTCGTCATATAGTTTCTCGCTCTGTTTATTTTGTATCTTGTACTCTGCTGGAGTCATTTGACCACATTTATCAGTCCTCGAGGTGTATCAGTGAGTGTTGACATTGGCAGTTATCTGTAGGTTGTCATGAAGAGAGCACAAAGTATGGCCCAGGCAGCATTGTCGCGACCTGCCATGCAATTGTCGTCATGGTCATGCATTGGTCCCAGACGTCGAGCCACAAATGTTCAGGTTAATTCCGATGAACAGCCAAACTCTGGTGAAACTTCTTCCAGCCAAAATTCTGGAACATTCCTTCTGGAATCCGAGGAGACCAGATGTACGACTGTGATGGAGCTTCCTGTATCTTCAACCGATGGAATTACTTGGAACTCAGAAATTGATCAGTCTGTTGCAGATGGGATCAATAGCCATAATGGCCTGGATCCCGATCTTGATGATAGTGAACATGTGGCCGATGACAGACCTGAAGACCGAATGACGGAAGTTGAGATGTGGCAACAACTAGAGCATGAACTGTATGATCAGTCTGAAGGTGAAACTGATGTTGCCAAGGAGATTAGGGAAGAAGAAGCAGCAGCGATCGCAGAGTCAGGTCAGAGCTCAAGTGAAGGCTCCGTTCCAAACACAAAAGAGGTGCACAGATTCTTTCCTCCTGGAAAGATAATGCATATTGTGACTCTCCTTTCTGAAGAAGAAGATCGTGAAAGTGACAGCGACATGTTGTGTGAGGATCATAACCAACCCAAGGATACAAAGGTTGGAATATTTCTCACTCCTAGATCACTATATAGTAAAATAAGGTTGTCACAAACTATGATCAGTGATCATCTCATGCCGGCTTATAGAAAGCAGATAGAGAAACTAATTAGGGACCACGAGAATGACGATGCTCGTGTCAGATTAAATGAAACCTGACCATTAAGTTGTCAAGTGAAATGTTGTTCGTGAATGGCATCAGAAAGAGAACTCGAGATTAGGCCCTGTGTTGGATCGAAAATTTTGATATGGTGATACTTTTCACGATTGTAGAGTTAGTGATCAATGGCTGCAGCCTCCTCCTCAGGGGATGCTTACTGATGGTATACTCTTAGCTTATTGTGCCTAAACCTTGACACAGACTTGAAGGTGTTTAGATTGCTGTATATATCCTGAAGACGTCTTATTCTTTTGTCAATGAAATGAAACTGTAACTATTAATTTGGCCTTTATGCTTCCTTTTGTACATTGTGCGTTACAGTTCATTATTAGAAATCATGTGAAAGCAAACTGAAGGGAACTACCCAGGTTACAAACTCGGATTTCTTGTTGGAGTTATATTAATACTCAAAGGAATAAAATATCAGTTGTATCAGTATCTTTGCTAATGAATGAAAATGAAAGAGATACAAATATTGAAGTGGACTTTGAGCAAAAATATAAATATACTTAGCCTCCAAAGAAGTTGCAAGGTAGAGAGCTAAGCTTTATTTAATCTTCAGCAACTCTACCACTTGGCATTATTTATTAGGAGTAGTTTTTTACTTGAAATTGTGATCAACTGATGATGACTTGAGAGCAATATACGTTCGTCTTTAACAATTATTAATGCGAATATCCCATTAAGCAACATTTATAATTGTAACATATGAACCCCACTGCTTCATCAATCACGATTTACATCTCATCTCTTCATTACGAAACTTTCTTGTTTCTTTTAGATGAATTATTATTTTCATTGTTATTGCGTGCAATGCTTCTTTTGATTGGTCAAAAAACTAACACCACTCAAGGCATGGGTCATATATATATATATATATATATATATATATATATATATATATATATATATATATATATATATATATATATATATATATATCCACATTCTACCATTGTGTTCACTTGTCTACAATTGTACGTACTGCTAGAGTTTGCTCATTTAAAGGAACATCTTTTGCAGCTGCCTGTATGACATGGGAATTAGCTGAATCAGGGTGTGAATTTATTACCTCAGTAATAAATGGAGCTGATTTGGTGCCTACATTTTCAGCTGCTTCAGTGGACGATTTACGTACTGAGGTTAACTTCTAAGTCTACATCGTAGAATTTCTGACTGTTTTTATGTGGCAATTGGTGCATTCTGTTGGAGTCTTTTTCTTTTTTGGGTAGATCGTCTAGCATGTTTTGTTTTGATACTGGACACAACCTGCTTGTAGGTGCCAGTATGTTTTGTCCTGATGTTGAACTTATCTGGCACTTCAAGTTTCTTTTCTTCTTTTTCTTATGTTTTGTTGAATATAGATTTTGATACTAGTCATGGTTCCTTTTCCCCGCTCCCCTCGAGTTATTCTTCCTCCAATGGGATCAATTGATCTAAGCTATGCTGCCGGATAACCTTTTGCCGTAAGCCTTCACAAGGACTTCTTCCCCATGCATACTTCATAATTACACGAGAGTTAGCTAATATCCCCTTGATACTACTTCCTCAAGCCAAATGATGTTGGTCGTATGTGCTAATCCTCTTATTCTTGCTAGCCGACCTCAACTAGTTTTTGGTTGATGCATTGTTAATCAATTGATTGATTTGACATCTTATTTTTACTTTTAGGTGCAAGACCATTTAGATTACTGTCTGCTGTTGCCTTCTAACTTTTCCAGGATTCAGTTTTTGGCCAAAAAACAGTCTATTTCAATTTTCACCTTAGGAGTAAATTGAGTTCATTAAGCTTTGGTATCTATTGTTCTAGTTTGGCATGGTGATCTTCATTGTCGAGTTTACAGATCCACCTGATGGTTTGGAGAAAAGGGTTCTGTTTATGGTACATCGTGTTGCTACTATATTCATAGTTTTGTTAATAGCTTCTGGAAGCTTGTTCTTTGTACCAACATTTCACCTCTGCTTCTAATACCTCTTTAGTTGTGAAGTATGGTCTCTCAAGAGGGGGGTGTTTTTCTTCTTGTTGCAGGTGACAGCATCTGCTTGGTTGAACGATCTAAGAAATCCTTTCCGGCATCATCCCATTCCGAGGACTCACAGAAATACCCCGGGCGGTGCCACAATCCGTTCGACGTACAACAATGTGTTGAACTACTTCAACAAGTCTGCGAGTGAGATATCCAGCGTCTGATGTTCGTACAGCAGTATCCACAACTCCTTTACGGGCTCCGTAGCAGAAATGATGTATTCTGTTAAAGGNGAGTCCTTGCGTAAATTGCTTTGAATGGTAAATCAATCATTTGCCTTGAGGATCTGAC